CACCCCCTCCTCCCCAGTTATATTTCACCCAGACATTAATAAATAAAACGAACCTCTTTGAGGGAATTCTCTCAAAAGCTGATTGAAATTCTTCGCCTCCTCGCGTTTATCCTCTGGCAAGCTTTCGAGCTCACTAAAATTGAAAAATAATTCATTTTACATTTCATTACTTTCAAATAAATTTTGTTTAAATTCAGGCAAATTTCAAATGCGTCCCGATTTACTTGTTGTTGCCTATGGTAACAGAATGATAGAAACAGAAACGATTGCATTTCAAATCAATTACATTAAGGCTATTAGTGATAAGACTAGTGTTATTGACTTTCGTCAGAGGATGTGAGATAGAAACTCACTGAAGGGCTTTCAGAACGTTGGACTCAACCACAACACATACAACCTAATCATAAAGTGCCTACGAAGGAAAGGTCATTAAATTTTACATCTTATTTCAAGATCAGTAATGCTATATATCGGAGTAATGTAGACTTGAATGTCATTTACAAGGTTAACTTACGCATTGGAGTATTCAAATTTATCACGAAGGTAATCAGAGAGGTTCTCAAGCACATTTTCTGAGTGAAGGGCCACAAACTCGCTGCGACATATCTACAAAGTGCAAAAAAAAGGAAAAAGAGATGGCAGATTACACACAATTCACTAGGTCTGCGCTTGTACTTCCACTATTCTATTCACAAAGCACAATAAAATCATGAAGAGCAACTCAAACACGCGGAAGAAGTAGCTGGACAACAGAGAGCAGGCAAAGAGAACAGCCTTCCGGTAGACATCGAATCCGAGACAAACCGACCTGGTAAGCGAGTGAGTTAACCGTTATGAGTTTAATTGCTGTGAAGTCCATATCACTCGAAAAAAAACGCTGCATATTGCAATTCCAACAACCAAGAAGATTGTCGCGTCAAGCATAAAATCCACGGTTTCAGAAAAGACATGGCTTGGAGACCATTCTACAGTGAACCATAGGAGGGGGGAGGGGGGGGAGGGGGGCAGTGCAGGTTTATACCAATCGAAATGGAATTTGTCTCTCCTCACTCTCCTTCCTTCTTACGCGCCGGCGGCGGCGGCACCTTGGCGCCGATCGCTGCGGTGAAGGGAGGCACAAAAAATGGATGGGGGGGGGGGACAAAGGCAAACGGGAAACGGCGTGTCGCCATTGTCGTTAGATAATTAGATCATCAGAGAATTAGGAAAAATATTTAAGAACTAAGATTTAGATTCAACCCATGTGCAATATTTCCGCCTTTCCTGAATAATAGGAGTATAAAAGGGAAAGTGTAGCAAGTGAAGCCTCATACACAAAACCACAAACTGAAAATCTATGAGATCAAAAATCGTTGAGGCTGTTAGGAATAAATTTAGCAGTCCCCTTGAAGAAAATAAGATGAAAAGAAAAAGGGAAATTGTAATTATTCTCATCGGCGTCTATTACAGCCGCAATCCGTCACACCAGTAAACCCCATTCCCCACCCACCCACCGCCCGCCAACACCCAACTCAGAATCTACAACAACATGACCTTAAAATTTCGATGCGAAGAGTCTCACTAACTTTACTTTACTTTTGTCACGATTAACTGGTTACTTGTAGTACTGGCATGGAGATTGCTGCCCTTTCCACGTCCCACAGTGCTTATATGATATTCAATTGGGGATCATACGATGGGGGGGAGTGTGGAGGTGGGGGGATAGAGAAGTCGTAGACCAAACGTACATTGGAACCGATGTAATGTCGGCCCAACTAGTTTCCTCGAATGCTTAAAGAGGTGTGGTGGGGGTCCAATACTGGCTGTCCTCATTGCAATTATATACTCGTACAACCCTCTCGAATCTCCTCGATCCCACTCATCTCTCCTACTCACCCGAACCCTCGTCGCAGCTTATTCTGGTCAATTAGTTACTGCAATCTGGTAATCACTAAAACGGCAGTGTTTGATTCACCAACAAAATATTTGGTAAATAAGTATTCAGCAAATTTATTCAAAATGAATCGTCTAGGACCTCGGTTAACGAGATGCGATTGTTGTAAACTGCTGTGGCTTAAAACAAACTGGAATTTCAAGCCAAATGAGTAGTTTTAATCGAAAGGGAAAAATGGAATAAACGTAAAACCTAACTTAGAATTTAAGGGCTATTTTTATCCATCGCAAAATGGAATCAATCTTGCAGGCGTTAGTCAAGTAGCACAAAGTCTGACGCAACACAACATCTTAAATGAAGCCGGATCTTAAAAAACTGAAAAGGAGAATTCAGGCCGCTCAGGCACAAATCCGAACAACAGTCATAGATTTGGGAATGAAAGATCATTGCCAGGTATTAATTCTAATACATGGAAATTAGCAAGGTGCATCGGAAGTAAAAAAGGTCAAGTCAAATCAGACTGCTGTCTGAAATAGAAGTGGAAGGGTGGTGGGGGGGGGGGGTGGAAGGAGGAGAGAAAGTAAGTGATCGAAGCCAAACGAACCTTCTCTCTAAAAAAATGGGGAGAGGACTCTGTTCCAAACATCACTGAAGCAACCAAGTGTATCAATACTCGCATTATTCAACACTTTGAGACAAATAGGGGGGGNGGGGGGGGGGGGGAGGGGGGCAAGAATGAAGTTTCGAACCAATAGGCAAGCACAAAGTTGCGGACACTTTCAGCAGTCCAATTTCGGATGCAGGGAAGTAACTGAAGAAAAGAAGACAGAATACCGTCAAGGCGCGAACCACCAGATGATTCTTGCAACTGACGTCCCTCTCTCTCTCTCTATCCCCTTTGTAGTGCGCGCGCGTAACCACACGAAAGAATAGAGGGGAAGAGGGGAAAAATACCGACTTTTTTCATACTGATCGAGGTCCCACTACGTACACCCCACTGCCCCCATTGCCTTGGACCACGTACCCTCCTAAGAATCTAATTACCTAACCCCAAATCGATCGATGCCACTTTTTCTCTGTGTTGATAATAGGCTGGATGCCCTCACTCTCTCTCTTTCTCTCTGGTAATTTGTTCGATTTGGCTCTACGTAGGTGTATCAACAACCTTGCGCGAAAGACACTAACAAAATGAGCTTGAAAAAAGAAAAGTAAAAAAAAGAATTGTAGAGGAAAAAAATGTGTGTAAAAAAACAGGGAGATATTCAACGTGACTAGTAAATTGGAGAGGAGTTTCATTCGAAATATGCACGTGCTCAAACAGTCGATTAATGCCACAATTTGATCGACCAACATTGCGAAGAAGGGTGATCACTTAAAAGTTACAGACAAAGGACTACCCTACTCAAATCGAATCTGACCCAGTAACAAATTACTGGATGTCCAATCATCGCATGTTCCTAACTGAGCAAGTAGCCTCTGTAAACCGAAGATAACAACAAAGAACTGAGTGGTTTAGTTCGCGGAAAAAGTGATCAAACTTCGGCTAACCATCCTCAAATTTGAGTCAAATTGGGCGCTCCTCATGGGTTGTAAATAATGATGGGGAGCGAATGGAAGTTCAATTAGTAAATCCAGGGGTGCGCGATAGACTTACCCTGCCACGTGGTGCACCCTGGGCAACGTATACTCAAAAAGTCTATTAACCGGCAGTTGACTTCTGACTTCAAACTACCTCCAGACTGTATGTCAAATTCAAACACTTCCACAGCACTCACCTCTCTTTTTTCTCTGCCTTTGTGTTTGTCTGTCTCTTTTAAATTTGTAAATCACTCTTCTGTTCCCCCTCTCCACTTTTTGTGACTTTGATGTTTCTCCCCTCTGTGAAGCCCGAAGTCAGCTAAAGGTCTATTGATAACTATCAAAACGCCTGCCATTTGATATAACTAAATAAATAATTAAATTTAGGGAAAAAACCTCGACGATATCGCACAACTCCTAATGGATATACCATAAGTCCACCAACATTGATTGAAAAGCGTAATTGTATAAACCTCAAATCTAAACAAAAATGTTACATCTTATCGGTAGGAAAGTAGAACAGATAATTGCACAGTTGAATGCACGCGAATCATACATTTGAGTCAATGCTTCTAGAAATGCAAATAGGACTTTCACTGGAAGTTATTCGCCATTTGACTAGCAGAAAGGCAAAGTCACAAAAAAAGGAAATATACAGTACCAAGAGCGCACCTATTCAATGACCTTGAAACCGTGTGGAAATGGCGTTTCGAGTGA